TCGAAAGTGTATAGTTTTCTTTCACTTGTTTATTAGAGACTGTGAGAATAATTTTTACATTGGCCAGTAGAGGGGGGAATTTCACTTGAAATGCTGATAACAAGCAACTGCTGTAGTTAAAAAGAGAATGGCAGTATTTTTTTCATGAATAAAGAGAAAGGTGGCTGGATATTTCTCTTCTGTAACATTTGTCAACTCTTGGTTTTCTAATTTTATCAAATTCCCCATTGATAACTCAATGTCTAGTATATCACCCTACTGTCCTCTTTGACAGTAAATGTCCGCTGCAAGGTTGGTAAACTCCACTGAAATATCAACAAAGAATCTAGCAAAAATATAAATGTCAGCTGCCATGTTTCAGATTTAATAGCGGCAAAGTCCCATTGTAAGCAAAGCAAAGAAGACACTAGATACAGCTATGTCTCATTCCTAGTGGGTATGTATAATAAATGTGTATGTGTGTGAGTATATAAAAATTAAATGCTCTTAAAATTACTTCCTTAATTGCAGCCTTGAGTCTTAGTGAGAACGACGGACTATAAATACCATAAATATTCAACATTACTTATGTTGTGTCTGAAAAGTACATTGGGTTTTGTTGACATGGTCTAGTGAATCTAGATCACTGCTATGACATTTTACTCAACAGCTGTAGCTTAAATTGCAAATTCTATGAATATTAAAAGAGCTTGTATGCCAGAAACAATAACAATAAAACAAGTATTTTAAAGTCCATAAATACTGTAAGTAAAAAGTTTTGGGTTGTTATATCTTCTGCCACAGTTGTGTTCATTTGTAAAAACTCTCCTACTCTGAAAACTTGTTTAGGTTTAGATTTACTGGTTCACACATCTTTTGGGTGAACAGTTTATATCTCACCAAATTCAGTTTTTGATCATTGTGTTTTTGCAATCCAGAATCATTTGCTAAAGGCAGCACTTTTTTTTTCTTCAAAGTACCATTTCTGAACACTCAAATCGCAATATATTGTTGGTGAGAAAAACACAACTCTTCCTCCAGATAGTAGCACTTGTACGGCTTGCAAATTTAAGCTGCAAGTTTTGAGTAAGAAGTCTTGCCAGATGGTGATCTCTGCTCATGTGATCTACATGGAAACCCAGTATATTCATTTTAAAGGTACTTAACAACAGTGCTGCAGTTTTAGCTTTCTTTTCTGTTTACCGTATTTCTGTTTACCGTATTTCTGTTTGATTAACAAAGCTAATTTCACATTGAAAACATTAGCCAAAATAACCTGTTTCCATGAGATGCTGGTGTTTTGGTCTACTCAGTGTAAAAAGTACATCGAAACATTTTGTTTGCATCCTGTCATTTCAGTACTTACCTTTTCCATGCCAGCAGCTCGGTTTGCTCTGTTTGGTCCTACGCAGGCATCTTTGTTTAGACTGTCTTGTTACTCTTGCCACTAATGACAGAGATGTTGTAGGGTCCAGTGGTCTTTTTCTGGCGCTCACAGTTAATAGTGCTGACTAGTATTAGATACTAACAACTTTGCCTGCCCGCAAAATATTTCCATCTTGCACTGAAATTTTTAACCTCTTGCTTTTTTCTCTTTTCAGACTTTTTTTTCTGTGTGCACCAAGAGATTTTGCATTTATTCACATATAGGTTTATCTATTATAATGACCTAAAATACGGCAAACAGGAAATAATGACCACAGGGGCTCAAACTGTTTACAATCCCCTATAGAAAAAACTGTGTTCTTTGCAGTGACCAACAATCATATTCGTTATATGCATGATGCAATAAAACCAAGCCAATTTTCTCCCACATAATGACCCATAATACTGTGTTTCAGAAATGGAATATATTTTGTATTTATGTATTTGAGAAATCTTCAGAGTCTTTTTAAATAGCCTTCCCCAAATATAGCCATAGACAGAAGCAAAAGCCTAATATCTGTTTTGTCATGTCTAATCTTTAATTTTCAAAGACTCCCTGAGGAGAAATTGGAGTACTACTAGAGGAGAATTCTCCAGTACTTTATCCTTAATCAGAATTTGATACAATCAATCCTTCATAATATGTTTGGTAATTTCTTCTTTTTTCTGTCAGCTCTAAGCTACCCTAGCATTCCTAAAAAAACCTGGCAAAATTATATTTCTTGCCTTTCCCTTTGGTAATCCTGTCTGCAGGAAGGAATTCATATCACTCTTTTTTTCTGACTTATGGTGGGGGTTCAGTATAGCAAAGTCTGAGAACTCCTGGTCTGCTCTGTTCCTCTGCTTGCTTGGCTGCTCAGGAAGATGAATTTGGTGGTGGATATTGTAACACCGGAAATGCCATCTGAAAATGATGTTCATGTGGCCAGGAGCTATCTTACGAAGATCTTGAGAAGCTCCATGAGGTATGATATTGGTTTTAAAGTTTCCTATTCTTTTGGTCTGACATGAAAACTTCATACCTCATGTCAATAAACCAGGAATCTGTTCTTCCTTTACAGCTTCTTTTACTTATGATGAATGTCTACCACCTTGCAGTTCCTAGTCTTGTACTTCAGTAGCTATATATTTAATCAGTAGTTTACTCTGCTTATACTGTGTGTACTTACTAAGACCATTATTCCACACAAAATGGTAGGGAAACTAGATCAGTGGTATGGTTTGTACTATTCACGTTTAACACTAGACAGTCACCTTATCCACCTTGTGACTATGGATTGGATTACAAATCTGTGTAAACTAAATTTGCATGTGAAGAGGTCTGTTGTAACATGAAGTGGGCAGCACCATGGAAGATAATTTCTGTAGGCTTTGGGAATTTTGGGGAGGTGGGTTGATCTTGCAGTGTAACCTGTTAATACCTCTATTTAATACCATACGTCTTCTGCTGTAGTCTACAGTGTTCTAGCTATCTGTATACACTCTGGGCTGTGAAAAACTTTAAAAACTTGCTTCACAACAAGCTGACAGTAGTGCTTGGTTTCTCAAATGAAAGAGTGAAGGTATTGGATATGGTAGTTCTCCAGATCTGTACAATAAAACTATGAGTAGAACTAGGCTTGCCAATTCCAGCTGGTAGCTGGAGATCTTTGGGAATTACAACAGATCTCCAGGTAACATTGATTAGTTCAACTGGGGGAAATGGCTGCTTTGGAAGGTGGACTTTCTGGCATTATACCGCAGTGAAGTCCCTCCCCTCCTCAAACTCTCCCCTTTGCAGGCTCCCCCCAAGGTATTTTCCAACCCTGAGCTGGCAACCCTAGCAAGAACATGTTCAAGGGGCTAATAGTGGGCAGAACTAAAGGCTGTTATTATTTTCTTATATTTATAAGTTGTAGTCATAACTGGTTTGCAGAAGCCTTTTCTGCCAAGCCTTATATTAACGCGCTGAACAATTTTTTGTTTACATAGTGACTCAGGTCTTACAACGAAATTAGGAAGCATCAGTGAAGAAAACCATATTGTAACATAGTGAGGAATTTCAGACAGATGATATAATCCGGAACAGGAACGGTTCCCAAACGGTTTCTGGTCTGTCATTTCAGACAGAACCATTTTAGAACCGGTTCCCTACCGGAATATATTTGTAATTTCAGACACAAATCCTTCTGTCCCGTTTAGGAAACGGGGCTGAAGCGTTTTATCTGTCAACCGCTTCCAAGTAGTCTTCAGTTTCCTCTCCTGGTCCCGATCCGCTTTTTCCCGCCATTTTTCGCCCGTGCTGGTGATCTCCGCTTTTTTTTTTAACGTTTGCTTTAGCTATAATGCAACAGCATTATATCAACCCCATTGGAATGCCTGGAGTGTTTTGTTATAGTGCTATAGCGCTCTAAAGCGAATGTTTTTTAAAAAGCCAGAGATCGCCCGCACGGGCGAAAAACAGAGGGGAAAAAGCGGTGCAGTCTGAAATGGCAAACTGCTTCAGATCCAGCTCTTTACCGGAAGGGGAAATCCATGTGTGAAATGGCAGCCCTATACCGATTTACTCCATGACGGATCAAAAACGGCTTCAAAACGGGTTAAAAAGGGTAATGTGAAATTCCTCAATGTTCCTCAGCTAGCTTTACCTGTTGAAGGAATTGCACTTCAGTGGAACTAGCACCATTCTCTTTTTGAACAAGTTAGCAAAAAGAATAAAATGGAGGAGGGAAGGCGGATTGTGTGGTAAATAATTAAAAGTGTTTTTCATGTTTCAAGTATGGAATCCTGTATCTGGAAAACATGGCAGACTGTTGTTTTAGCATATAGCAGACAGAATGTGAGTTAGGCTGAAGATGAATAAAAACAAGATTCACAGTGCTCTGAACCCACCTTTGTAAACCGACTTGAACAACCATAGCAACCCAACAGTTTTGCCCTCCTTGCTAGCCTTCTCATTCTCCTGCTTTTCATTGCTGCCACCCCCTCAAATCCAAATGGTCCTAGTCAGGTATCTGAGACTCTAGGATACTGTGCTGCATCCCTCTCAGGCACCGATCTGTGGGGGGCTTTGTTAACTTGCCCCAGCCAGGAGATAGTGCTTGTGAGTAAGCAGGCAGTAGTGGGGTCACAAGAGTGATAGACTTGGGCTAATGTTTGACTAACTTTTTTGTTGAGTGAGATTCTCAGTTCACTTGAAGAATGTCTGGTAGATTATAATTTCATATTTTAGCCACTGAACCACATCTATACCACTTTAGTTCAAAAATGATGCAAGTACAGAGTTCTCCATTTCCACCTTCATGCATGTGTACAATCCTTAATTGTTTAAAGAAATTTTCAGTATTTTGCAGGGTCTTCAGGAAAGTTAGCCTGTGGTGTGTCTCTCCCCTGCCCCCCATTATTTATTTTATACTAAAAAGGCACTCTGGGCCTTGTCTGATTGTTTCAGTTCACTGTCTGTATTTCAAAATATTTTTATGGTATCTCCCCTGCCCGGCATAGACTGTTCTGTATTCTTCTTCTTGCATCTGTTTATTAGATCTGAAGTTGATTTGTTTTTGGTTGGTGTTGGTTAGAAATTTATGAGGGAAATGTTTATGCTTTTCTTGTTCCAGGAAGAATGACCTAACCTGTAGGCCCCACTCCTGGCATGCAACCAAATTTACCGAGAATCAGCCTGAGACAGCCACGTCACGGCTGTCTTCAACCAATGTCTGCGCTTCATGGCACTCCCGGTATCATGCAAGGTGAGTTCCTGTTGAAAGTTCTAACATAAAGAAAATAATTTGCCTTGTTTTGTTCTTATCTTTAAACTGCCAACAGTGTGCAATATGTTTTTAGTTTTTCATGTGTGAAGGAACTTGCATAAATGAGAGCGATCAGTACATCATGTCTGACAATTATTAGTATACAGTATTCTCTGTTATGGAAATAGGATTATATCTGTGGATTCGGCTGGCAGGTATTTCACTTTTTCTCTCTAGGCCGTCTGTAGATATCAGGTTTCAAACATAAAAACTTTTTGAGGTCAGGTGGACGTTTCTACAAATATACTTTCTCCTTCAGTAACGTAAGGCCAAAGAGGCAGAAACTGAAACACACTATTCCAAGGTAGTTCCTTGGCAATAATATATGCACAGTCTTTCCTCTGTACACCTGAGGAATTAATACAATTACTTTCTCTAATTTTGTTCATGCTTGCTATGTAGCAATTAATAAGATATGGGTAGGGCTCATAATTGCCATTTCGATCACTGAAACTTCTTTAGTAATTACTACCTCTGTGAGGATACTTTTGAGCCTTAAAAAAAGATTGCAACTTTGCTTGAGCTGTAAAAATGTTCTCTGTTCTCATTCAAGTATGCCATGATCTAGTTGTAATCTTTTCAAAACTGTCACTTTATCAACACTTTTCCTGAAATTATCTGGATTTCTGTTGTGTATGGAAAATAGTAAAAAATGTCACAAAACTCCTAATTTACAAAGCACTTAGCAAGTATATTATATATTTCCGATCCACGGCATTAAAGGATTGTTTAATTTTTCCATGCTATTAGATAAAAATATTAGATACTCCATGCTGTGCTTATTAAAATAAAAACTTTTTAGCCTTGTGTTACTGTTATCTTTAGTACAATATTGAGCTTTAAAATAAAGTGATTTGCTGTGCTGTTTCGAACCTTTTCCCCCATAGTCTCATAAACATTTATATTGGTAGCCGAGCCACCCATTATCCTCTTCATCTCTAGCAATCACCACTTCTTTTTTTGCTTGCTATTCACTACACGGGAGTTTCTTCCCCTTTGGCTCAAGTAGCAAGCTGGGAGTTGAGAAGACGTTTCTCAGAAAAAGAGGAGCATGACCATGGTGCCAAAATGTGTCTGGTCTTGTTCACTGTGATTGTGGTTTTGTTTGTATATCGTCAACTTTGGGATATTCTATGTATTATATATTGTACATTAAGGACTGTTTAGTTTGGTGTCTTTCAGTCTATATTCAAGGCTGATGTTTTTAAATTTCAGTTTCAAGTGCACTGTATAGTATACTGATTTATTTTGTTTAATTCATTTTTAATATAATAATCTTATATTATAATGACAAAGTCAGCCAATCTTTGGATACTTAAATCTGGTGACTGGGGCTTCGAATGGGCAAGACAGATCTTTCTACAAGCCCGAAAAGGCCCCAGAGTTGCAGGAAAATGTGAAATCTAGAATAAAATACATTGGGTGGTTTAAAAAAAGCAACTATTATAAAAGGAGTACCTGTAACTTTAAGCAACAGACTCCTTCAGTGGCTGTTGCTAGGCAATCACAGCATTCCAAGGCTTGGTTCTGTCAGTAAAAGCATGTGGGACAAGCCAGAGCCATTTCCAGGCCTATTTTGGCCTTTGAGGGGAGGGCATCTTGACTCCAGGCCTGACCTAGGGTTGCCAGCTCCAGGCTGGGAAATTCCTGAAGATTTTGTGGTGGAATTTGAGGAGGGCAGGATTTAGGGAGAGGAGAGGCCTCAGCTGAATATAATGCCATAGAGTTCATCTTCCAATGCAGTTATTTTCTCCAAGTCTCTGTTGTCTGGAGTTCAGTTGTAATTCTGGGAGATCGGCAGATCCTACCAGGGGATTGGCAACCATAGGCCTGGAAGCAACCTCTGGGTGACTTGATGTCACCCAGCTCCCAAGACTTAACTAGGCCTGGCTGATTGCTACTGTTCAACAGCAGCCATCCTATGAAAGCCAGTGTTGGTGTACCAGTTAGAGCTTCAGAGTAGGGTCTGGGAGATCCAGGTTTGATTCCCCGTCTTGCTGTGGAAACTCACTGGGTGATTTTGGACCAGTCATATACTTTCAACCCAACCCTACCTCACAGGGTTGTTGTGCAGATAAATAAGAGGAGAGAGGAATAATGTAAGTTGCTTTGGTCACCTCTGTAGAGAAAGGTGGAGTATACATGAAGTAAATAAATAATAAATGTAGCTGAAGATGTGAGGCAGATAAAAGTAAGGTGGTGAATGTCTGAGAATGAGAGAATGAGACAGAGAAAGGAGAGAGGATATAGGGGTTGCTGGGAGTGCAGAAAGAAAAAATAGTATGCGGAGGGGGGATTCAGGGGAAAATCAAGTGCCACCCCACAAGTCCTTGAGGGTTCCTACCATGCAGGTGGGTCTTGCCAAGTGGCCAGCACCACACAACTAAGCTGCAGTTTTCCTAGGTAGAGGCTGCTGGGGGGGAGGCCAGGAGCTGAAGACAGAGGGACAGATAAAAGTAGGCTGGCTATTGAATGGGAAGGAAAGTGGGTTGCCAACTCCAGGTAAGTAATTCCTAGAGACATGGGGGCTGGAGCCTGGGGAGGGTGAGGTTTGAGGAAGGGAGGTACCTCAGAGGAGTATAATGCCATAGACTCCACCCTCCAAAGCAGCTATTTTCTCCATGGAAACTAGGGTTGCCAGCCTCCAGATGGGGGCTGGAGATTACCCAGAATTACAACTGCTCTCCAGATTACAGAGATAAATTCCCTTGGAGAAAATAGCTGCTTTGGAGAGTGGACTCTACAGCCTTATACCCTACTGGAGTCATCTCCACCCCCCAGCCTCGCTCTCCCAAGGCTCCACTCCTAAATTTCCAGGAATTTCCAAACCTGGAGCTGGCAACCCTGAGGGGGAACTGATCTCTGTATTTGGAAGGTCTGTTGTGATTCCAGGAGATCGCCAGTCCTCACCTGGAGGTTGGCAACCCTAGAAGAAGAGAAGGGAGCAGGAAAGAGGCTCTGGGGGCTTTCAGGAAAGGGAAGGGGGAAATAGTAGGAGAGGGTAAAGTGAGATGGCCTCCCGCAAGTCCTTGTGGGTTCCCATTTGTATAATATAGTTTTATAGTGTTCCTGCTCAACCTTTGTGGTGCCTAACACGTTATTCTTTCCAGGTTGGCTCTTGATAATGAAGCCCTCCCTGGACATTCTTTTGATCTCATAAGTCAAGCAGACAGCTGAAGAAACTGTCACCAACTATCTGATCTTCTGTTCAGTTCCACAATGGGGACTGCGCATGAGCAGTCCTTCTGTGGAAAAGTTTTACCAGTTAAAGCCTCCAGGGGGTGCTGAATGCTGAAGCCGGAAAAGGCTGTTCCGGCCCAAATGATCATGTGCTCCAGGGGCTCCAGTGCCCCCAGCCTCAATTCTTTTCTTGCCGCCAAAGGAGAAGTCTCAAACTGGTTGCTCCTGCATTGTCATTCTGGTGAGTGGCTAGCCCTGGGCTGTCTCACCCCTCCCCCCCACCTCTGGACAGTGAGGTGGGCCTTCATGGCTCAGAGAGCTTTGTCCTTTTTGTGGGCCTTCATGGCTCAGAGAGCTTTGTTCAAAAAGTGCATCCATTATGGTGCCAAGACGACTCAGCTGATGAGCATGATCTTTGTCTGTTCTGCTTGGGCAAGAGGTATAATGTATCCACTTGCAGAGCTTGCCAGCATTTTATCCCTAAAGCTAGAGTGATTGGGCATCGAAACTCAAGGCAGGCCTTTGAGAATAAGCCCTAAAATCTTCCAATCCACTGAATCTAGCCTTGGCTCCAGAGGGATCTTCAAAGCCTCTTTCCCCCGATTCTGCCAGGTCGGCTCTGTCTGTGCCCTGTTCAGAGCCACATCGCAACCGCTCAAAATCATGGTCCCCTCTGACTCAAAGATGTTCTTCGGAACCACCAACAAAAGACCCAAGCTTAAGACGAAGTATACAGAGAAGCACAAATCTGAAGATGCCATCCCCTGGGCCAGCGTCACCCCAGTTCAGTTTCTGAAGGGAGAGATTGAAGTGGAACAGGTGGCCATTTCAGTTCCAGATGTTTCCGAATCCAAGCCCAGTCAAGTAGTTCTGTGGTCCCAACCCCCAGTGCTTGTATCTTGGCCACCACATCCTTATCTTAAGTTGCCTGTGTACTTCACTGAATGGGGTGATGGCTATGTCCCGGGATCCAGGTTGGACCCAAGTCAATACTGTGCTTCACAATACAAGATCCAGAAGACCTCTTTCACCAATTCTGGTGGCGAATGTGGAGGACAGCAAGGATAGAACTATCAGTCCAGAGTCTGGCTCGGATTCTACAACTGACCCTAACCCTGATGAATGGGTGGGAGATTGTGGCCCTGCATCCCCCACTGAAGGTCTTCATGTGTATGGAGAAGAAATGCTTATAATGTCGCGATCTCTTTATATCGATGTGGCCACATCCGACCACAACCCAAGGCATCTCTATGTTGAATCACTGGGTGTTACTGTCTTTCCCATGTTGGAAGGCCTACTCAATTTAACACAGGAGTTGTGGCCACATCAAGGCAAGTCAAAAAATTCTACAGAATAAAACAGGACTCTTTCCATTTTTAACTACGGACTCACTTCCCTCCTCTTTGGTGACAGGAAATGCAACCCAAGGGCCAACAGTCATAACAGTACTGCCCCTACTTGACGTCACTGGATGCAAGATCTGCTCCTCTGCACCTCTTGGCCTCAGGGTGGCCAACCACCAGACCATTGTGGCTGGTTACCAACTTTTCTTATGGGAAAGGATTCTCCCCTACCTAGAGCTGCTGCCGGGGGATAAAAGACCCCTTGATAAGGTGATTCAAATCGAGGCTGTCAAGTTGTTGAAGCAACAAATTAATGCAGATCGTCATGCAGCCAGTTCTGCAGCTAGAGCCATGGCAAGCTTCATCGTCCTACTCTGGCATACCTGATTGAGGTCAACTGCTCAGCCGAGGGGGTTGAGTCTCAAAGTGGAGGACCTTTCTTTTGAAGGTTGCAGCCTTGTTCTCTGTAAAGACTGATGAGATTGTTTCACAGATAAAGAAAAATAAACAGACTGCCAGATCTCTGGGGGTGTCGCATCCAAACCCCTCCTGACCAAAACCGTTTTCCCTTCTGCCAACCTTGGCAGTCATTCCAAAGAGACTATTGCTATATTAGTCCGTCACAGCCCCAGTATCCTGTTCCCAAATCTTTGGCCCCCAGCTGGGCTATGCTAAGAGAAAGGGTGTCCCCAGGTCTAGATATGGGAACCAGTCCCAGACTCCCAGGGAAGTTGCCCAACCTCAGAAAGCTGCATTCTGACTAGGTTCATTTCCTACTTCAGCCAAATTTGGGGACAAGCTACCCCATTTCCTGGCTGTGTGGGAAGTTGTTACTTCTGACCAGTGAGTTCTGTCCATAGTTTGACTTGGGTATAAGTTAGAGTTTTGAGATATTGCCCCTTCTTTTTCCACCTTGAGGGTGATAGATCATTCTATGCCTGGCCTAGAGGAATCACTTCAAGCCGTCCTTGACAAGGTGCAATGGAAAAAGTCCCTGAACCTCAAGCTTTGGAAGGCTTCTATTCTCACCTTTTCTTGGTAGATAAAAAGGACGGGAGGGGGTTAGGCCCATTCTGGACCTTTGAGATCTGAACAGGTTTCTTACGGTTTCAAAGTTCCGCGTGGTCTCTAGTTTCAGTTATGCAGTTACACACATACCCTCCCTCTGGCCACTCTGCATGCTCTCTCTTGGCTTCAGTGGCACTAGAGGACTGAGGGTAAGGGCACTGGAGCCCCAGAGCACATGAGTGTTTGGGCGGGAACAGCCTCTTCTGGCTCCAGCGTTCAGCACCCCCTGGAGGTTTTAACTGGTAAAACCTCTCTGCAGCAGTCCTACTCATGCACAGTCCCTATGTGTGCCTGCACAGAAGATCCTCGATGAACAACACTTACAGGTAAGAGCAACCCTGTTTACGGGCTCAGCTGGTGGTGTGGTTTCTGTAGTGATCCTAATGCCTTTTTTTAGAAGGAGCTATACAGTTGGTAGTATAAGCAAATTTGAATTCATTTTGGTTTTGTAATGGTGACAGTTTTATATTATACTGGTTCAGCTTAATATGGTTGTTGAATGAATAGGATTTTTGCATGTGTGTAGTGTAAAAGTTCTCCTTCTTTTTTGCTACAGCTCCTCTTCTCATGACCTGTCAAGCTCATGGGATCAATCAAATCTCCATCGCACTTCAGATCAGTTCAGCTCTGCCGGAAGCATGGACAGCTGGGATCACACACCCCAAACGTATCAGTGTGGACAGATGTCATCTGCAAAATCCAGCAGCAGCATCGATCACTTGGGGAATCCCAGCAAAAGAGATTCAGCCTACGGCTCTTTTTCCACCAGCTCCAGTACTCCTGACCACACGCTATCCAATGTAGATGTTGCCTCTGCCGAGAATGTGCTGTACAAAGTAAGTCAGTGGGATACCGCAAAACAAGGGAATGGCAAGACTGCCTCATTCCTAAGTGATAATGGCGGATTAGAGGAGAAATCTGCCTGCTTCCCACCTCCACCGCAGTATGAGAACAGTAAGAGCCCCCGACTGGAAGAACATTCTGATGCAAAGTATTCTGGGTCTGGAAGATCAAATTTTGGACCTGTTTGGTATGTCCCAGAGAAAAAAAAGTCACCCTCTCCTCCACCCCCACCCCCACCTCTCCGTAGCGATAGTTTTGCTGCCACCAGAGGTCATGAAAGAACCCATACCCCTCTTTACTCAGAGGGTATTCAGAGCACCCAGCACTTTGAAGTCCTGCATAGACCCCAGCCCAGGACTGACTGGAGTACTGAAGCTGCAGAACAACAAAAGCGAGCCGCTAGGGTAATCGAGAAGACCTCAGACGGGAAGCAAAGTGGCAACCCGACGTACAGGTCTGATCTCAGTCTGGATTATAGTTTGCCTTGTGCAGGTGACAGAATCAACAATAATGTGGGAAATGCCAACAGGCTGCATTCGTCCCTGTCCAGTACTGACGTTCGATTTGCACAGTCCGTTTACGGGCATCACTGCCATCACCATCAGCGCCAGTACAGTGATGAAAGCACTTTCTTTCACAATGCAAAGAACCCTGCGTTGCCTAAAGAGCAGCGGCACCTCTCCTCTTATGCTGGCATTCAGGAAAGGCCTGCCGACAAACACAACCTCCAATCCAGCCCATTTAGGACATTCAGCGCTGCTGCTTCTGACATCAGTTCTGAAGAGAAAATGGACAGTACTGGGCTAAGTCGCTACTATTGTGTGGCCATGAAACAGCCTGCTCAGGGAAACGCAAGACCGCTACAGCTCAAAGATGAATGCTGGAATTCTGGAATAGGTGCTCAGGCCTCTACTAGACCACACGAGAGTCCCGCTGTAGCCATGATGACCCAAAGCCCAAAATATTATCTACCTCAGCAACCTGTTGAGCCTTCTCGGGATGCATGTGAAAAAAGCAGCCATTGTGTAGGCAACAAAGGAGAGGATGTTAGGACTGCTGTGGTAGAAGATTCCAAAAAGTTTAGCTACCCTGAAAAATCAGGACAGACTAAGAATTTCGAGAACCACAATCTTTTTAATGAGCAAGAATATGCTCAGGAATGTGCCCTAATGCCAGATAATAATGCTGCCCCAAAAGATTTCAAATGGGGTCAGGAAGAGAAGGACAAAATTTCTCCTCAAAAGACCCCTATGTTGCATTCCTTAGCTCAGGAAGGGAAAAACCAGCCTGACAAAGGTGCTGAAACTGGAATTAATAGACAGCCTGTGTTTGATGCCCATCTGAGTAAAAATGCACGGAGGAGTGATCGTTTTGCTACCACATTGAGAAATGAGATCCAGATGAGGAGAGCAAAACTGCAGAAAAGTAGAAGCACAGCTACCTTAGCAGAATCAATTGAGACAGAAGAGTTTGCTGAGAACTGGAAACCTGATTCCACAGAAAAGGTGAAACCTTCATCAGAAAATTCTTTTACTAATGAGTACAAGGATAATCTTAAAGAGGCCCAGGCCCGAGTGCTGAGGGCAACCTCTTTCCAACGCAAAGACTTGGAACCCAGTTCTACAGATTATTTTCCAGACCGGAAGGCAAATAATTATAACTCTACATTGTTGGCTCTAGTTTCTGAAGATGAATCTGGCTTCCGTGAGGCTACACAGTCTTCTAAACAGAGTTCACCTGCTAGCAACCCCCACATTTCTCGGATTGGTGGTAGAAAGAGGTTCACAGTAGAACAAAAGTTGAAATCTTATTCTGAGCCTGAGAAGATAAATGAAGTGGGAGTATCGGATGATGATTACCACCCACGCCGCCGTCCAACCACTTCTGAGGAAGCCTTAGGTTCTTTTGCTGATAGGTGGAAGTTTTTTGAAGAAACAAGTAAGCCTGCCTATCAAAAATCTTCACAGACAAACATACTCTATGGTCGACCTGAAGGTCAGCCTGGTAATCGTCGTAGAAATTCTAATGAGGGCGAGGGCGAGGGATCATGGTACGTAAGGAGAATGCGGGCAGCTTCTTTTGGAATTGAAAGTACACTTGGTGGTAACAGATCCAAAGACAGCATCATGAACACTGCCCACAAAACAAAATCAGGACAACCTCAGAGGCTAGAAACTTTTGCAGAGTATCAAGCTTCATGGAAAGAGCAGCGGAAACCTTTAGAGACTCGGAGTTCAGGAAGATACCATTCAGCTGACAACATCCTTGATGCTGGCCATGAACAGCTTGAGAAACCTCAGTACACACATGAGCGATCCAGGTCATCCCCTTCTACTGATTTCCACAAACAGGTAAGAGCTGCTTTTATTCCTACCTCTGTTAACCTTAGAAAATATATGTAAAAAGTGTAAACCAAAGGACACACTTAAGAACTTAATTCAAACAAATTTATCTTGACTGACAACTACAGTCTCCATTACCATTGTCTATTCATCCTAAGAGGTTTCTCAGCAATAAATTCTTCTGGCCAGCTCTTTCATATTCCACATTTCTTTTGAGTCCCCAATAGTTTTCCCACCATTAGATTATGTAGTGTTCAGAGGGGATATGACACCTCTGTAGTACTTGGTCTGTGATGATTGCTTCACGTGTAGAAGTCATTACATGATAATGAAGTTGTAGGCTGATGAATATGCATTTGTGAATTTATTTGGAGTTAACACCTGTCAAGTAGCAGGTGTGTGACTGCTTCACCATGTATGTGTAGTAAATAACTAAACTGTTTCACCGTAGGCACGATCTGCAGTTCATCCCACATTTGTCATGCTGCCTCAAAGCTGTTGCATTTCTGGGATAGATATGGGCAGAGTAACAATGTTGTGGTTATAATGAAAATATCACAGGGTTGTCTTGTCACAAGCATAGGTCAGTCCAAATCTGTTTACTCCACCTTTGTGCCATGCCAGTATGTTGATGTGTATTGGCTCTAGCCCAAACCCTTGATTGCCTTATTGATTGCAGGGATTCATTGAAAATGGATATAGTCTTTTCAGTAGATTGTTAATTTTAGTTTTACAGCAGCATAAAGATAAATGTACTGTTACTATTTAGGAAAGATTATTCAGTGTCACCTGCCTCACCAATCTGTTGGAGTTCGGTGATAGTGTCAATTTGAATCTAGGTATAAATTATCTATTAAGTGCATGGACTTACAAAATCCTTTTAACAAAGTTCCTTGAACAAAAGCTCTTAAATAAAGCTATCATTTTGGGGATAAATGTGTGGGTCTGACTCCTTTTACAGTCTGGAAATGGGAAAGAACAGGAAACCAGTAAATGGACTGTTCTCACAATGGGCAGAAGAAAGCAGTAGTGTCTTCCAAAGATTTGTACTGGGACCAGTGCTGTTTAATTTATTCATAAAGAATTTGGATTTAGGAGTAAATGGTGAAGTAGGCATGATTGTTGATGGCACCAAACTATTCAAAAGGTGAAAACTAAATACGTATAAAAGGATCTATCCCAAAATTGATGAATGGGAAACACATTTCTATTTTATTTATTTAAGACATTTTATGCTGTCTTTCCACCCAGCTCAGAATATCCAATGCGGCAAACAATAAAAACTATTAAAACAAGCTTTAAAAAAATACATATTATAAAAATACATCCTATATATATAATTCCCTTATGTATTGGCCGTTTTCAGCTCTCCCATTGGCTGTGCTGTGCACTCCATCAGCCATTGGCCCGTCAACCGCTACTGAAGAGTAATTGCGTGACATTGGCTGGGTGCTGGGTTTGCTCCTCTTCCCCGCCCACTGCCGCCTCAGCCACTGTTATCTGTCAGAATAGCTGGCCAAAATGGCTGTCTCTCCTGATGAAGACGCTTCTCCTGCTTGGCTCCTGTGGGACTAACTTTTCCCTCAGTGAGTGTTGCTAGGGAACCAAGCTTGGTTCTGTCAGTAAAAAGGCAAAGCTTAGGAGGCCCTTTCCAGGCCTTTGTGGGGAACTCATTGAGGCCAGTCCTGACTAGGGTTGTCAGATCCAGGTTGGGAAATTCCTGGAGATTTTGTGCTGAACTCAACAGAAGCCAGGGTTTGGGGAGAGGCTTCAGCTGAATTGAATGCCATAGAGTCCACCCTCCAAAGCAGTTATTTTCTCCAGGGGGAGAGATCTGTTGTTTGGTGTTCAGTTGTGATACCACAGCCAGTGTGGTGTAGCAGTTAGCATTTCAGAGCAGGGTCTGCCAGACCCAGGTTCTTGCTGTGGAAGCTAACTAGAAGAAGAAGAAGAAGAGATTGGATTTATACCCCGCCCTTCACTTGGAGTCTCAGAGCAGCTTACAAATGCCTTTCCCTTCCCCTCCCCACAACAGACACCCTGTGAGGTGGGTGGGGCTGAGAGAACTCTGACACAAACTGCTCTTTTTCAAGGACAGCTGTTCCAGAGCTTGTGACTGACCCAAGGTCACATCAGCAGGTGCAAGTGGAGGAGTGGGGAATCAAACCCGGTTCTCCCAGATTAGAATCCACACACTTAACCACTACACCAAATTGGCTCTAGGTGTTTTCGAACCGGTCACAGACTTTCAGCCTAACCTACCTCATAGGGTAGTTGTGCATATAAAAAGGGGGAGAGGAGAATGATATAAGCTGCTTTGGTCCCCACTGCAGAGACTGTACTTTTCCTCCTGGAGAACCATTGTTGCCAATCTCCAGGTGAGGGCTGGAGATCACTCAGAATTACAACTGCTCTCCAGATGGCAGAGATCAGTTCCCCTGGAGAAAATGGTGGTCTCTGTGTTCTTATACTCTGCTGAGATGGCCCCCCTATGACAGCCAGTGTGATGTAGCAGTCAGGGCTTCAGAGCAGGGTAGAGGCTGCAGGTGGGAGGGAGATGGAAAGCTGAAGTCAGAGGGGCAGATAAAGGTTGGTTGATGATTGGCCAGGAAGGAGATAGGATTGCCAACTCGAGGTTGGGAAATTCCTGGAGATTTGAGGGGTGGAACCTGGAGAGGGTGAGGTCTGAGAAGGGGTGGGACCTCAGACAGCTATAATGCCTTAGACTCCACCCTCCAAACCAGCCATTTCCTCCTGGGGAACCACTGCTGCCAATCTCCAGGTGAGGGCTGGAGATTATTCAGAATTACAGCTGCTCTTCAGATGGCAGAGATCAGGGCTGGAGAAAGTGATGAACTCTGTGTCATTATATGCTGCTGAGGTCACCACAGCAAATTGACAGTGAGTGCCGACGGCCAGGGCACCTGCCCAGAGCCTCTTTCTAGAGCTTGTTGTATTTATTTCCACAACAAGCCTTATCCGTAGTTAGTAATAACTTTAATGATACTGCTGATTTTGCCTACAGTTTTTAATCAGTGTCATACTAGTAAAGGTAAAGGTTTCCCTTGCTCGAAAGCCAGTCGAATCCAACTCTAGGGATGTGGTGCTCATTTCCATTTCCAAGTCGAAGAGCCAGCGCTGTCCAAAGACATTTCCGTGGTCATGTGGCCGGCATTACTATACGCCGAGGCACATGGAACACTGTTACCTTCCCACCGAAGCGGTACCTATACAGCAAAAATAAGTAATTTAAATAACCAACCAGTTATTGTGCTTGAGGACCTTTACATTTAATTATGTGAGCAAAAAAAATTGGCTACAACCAATGTAATTCCTAAATCCATGCCTGCCAAGAGTTTCTTAACATTATCTGATCTTAACAACCCCTCATTATCACAGAAAAGAGGAGTGAGCCACAAATCCCTAATACTAGGTACCACATTCTAGTAAGTAAAGCTCCAAAGTTTCTATCTGTCCAAAAATACAAAATCCTATTAGAATATGATTTCCTTTGCATTCGACCTTGTGTTACTTGAGAAGGGATAGGGTTTAATCTTACAACTGTAAATACTGTCCTGTATTGAGGAACGGTTAAAAATCTAAGGTAAGGGTGCCTTTGGGCAATTAGTAATAACAATTAAACACATAAACAGAAAGGAATTTCAGTGAGGGAATGCCAAATGAAACAAGTAAGTCTTCACCTGCTGGTGGAAGACCGTGATTAAGAGAGACAGATGAATTTCCCTGGGAATAGAATTCATAGTTTTGGTACCACAACTGAAAAGGCCTTTTCTTGTTTACTCAAAGAAGGGCTCTTAAAAATGACCACACTCGTTCGGTATGTTCATAGGGCAGTAGGCAGTCCTTAAGATATGTTAATGTTCCTTCTAAGCTGTGGAGTCTTGTGAGCAAAAATTCTGCTTTGTGAGCTACTGGCATTAAAGAAGGAGCAAGCGATTTGGCTACTGCATAAATTAGTTTGCTCTGTCTTTTCCAGATCCAATCTTCTTGCGGTTCACCCCTCCCTCTGCTCCCACTCTTGTTTTCCTCCTGGCTCATCTTCCATTGTTAGGTATCATCAGATGCCACCTAAAGTTCTGATATTGGGGGGGGGGCATTATTTTTAGTCTCCCAACATTTCGTAAAATTTTCATATTTTTCTACAGACTTACCGTATTTTCCTGCGTATAAGACTACTTTTTAACCCAGGGAAATCTTCTCAGAAGTGGGGGGTCGTCTTATACGCCGGTACGCCAGAAGCATCAGCACAGCTCTATATTTTAACTGGAAAACTCTATATTTTAACTGGAAAAGTTGGGGGTCGTCTTATACGCCCAGTCGTCTTATACGCCGGAAAATACGGTAGGTTTTTCCCCAGGTTTGCAGGAACGTGTACTTCAGCTGCATCATGTACTCCCTCTTGCATCATTGTTGATCTGCAGGGGAGTGGCATATTTGGCCATTAGATATGTCATATGAGGTCCAGCAACAAAATGTTGCAGGGTTGTTGTTTTTTTAGCTTATCTGAAGATGACTGTTCGCACCTTTGCAGTTGCTTTTGTGCCTGAGAGCAGCTGCTTCAGCCATTCCAGCAGCTGTTCTCTTTAATCCTTTTGTATTGCTGCAAAAGGTGGATCTGTGAGGAGTCAATGAATAGGGAAGGTTTGACTCTTACACTGAGCTTTGTGAAGCTGCCTCCTTCTGGATTTTTGATCCACATGGAATATCATAGTTTGCTATATGCCAGTTGCTGTGAAACCCTGCTTTAGGGGCTTTCTATAAGTATGTGGCTGAAAATGGTTGGATATGGCACGCTGGAGCAGATCAACTTTTGACCTGATCTGACAGGATTCGTTTGATGTGTATTTCTCAAAATTTAAAAATAAGATTATAGGAAGTTAAGAAAGTGTATGTGTCCCAGTAAGACTGTGATACTAGACGCCATTTCCTTCTTGGATCAGTTTTCTGTTTCCTTTTTGGGCGTACACATATGCTCTTAGTTTTGCTATAATCGCAACATAGCTTCAAAAGCTGTTCCTCCTTTATTGGGCAGCTGTATGTATTATCTTGACTTAAGTTAATAGTTCTAAGGTTCCCATGGTTTTGGTATTGTTGATTTAAGATAACTAAGGCCTTTATGCTCCAGCTCTTAAGTGTTTTTGAAAGATATGGCTGCTTTCTCTCACATCCACAAAACACACACACACGCACACATTCAATCCATTCGAGTGTCCAAAATGGCTTGCATGTAACTGTGAGGTTATTGCCGAACTGAAACTGCAAATGCTTTATAGTTCTTTCCTCCTAGACCAGTCAGATGAATTAGTAACTTGAGCACAAGAATTGCAAAGCCATCAAGGCTGCGTGGAATACTACAGTGCTTTAAGCCAAATCAGCATAAGACCAGATACATTATGGACTTTCAACAAACCCACAAATGAGGGGGTGTGTAATAATATATTTTTCTGGAGACTGAAATTTGATGATTTGGTACTTTACCATGTTATAAAACCTTTTGCAGGAAGTATCCACTGCAGTAAGGAGGCAAACAGAAAATTCAAGGGAAGCTGAAGAGCGTAATTTTTCTCCAGCAAGACCTGATGAAAGGAGCTGCAGCTCGAGGTAAACAGTCTTGTTCTTAGCTTCCCAGTATATTATTTAGCAAAAGATTAGTCTAATACTTTTGCCCAACCAAAGTAGTAACGATTAAGTCCGACTTGCAGAGAATTTGTGTTCTTTTCCTTTACAGATCGTTCAGTAAAACAATGTTTGGGAAGGGCGGGATACAAATTGAATTAAATAAATAAATAACTTGGTGGGAAAGCAGCTTTTAAACTAGTTAGTTTTTAATATGCTTCCTTGGAATTTGGGTGGTTTTTCCCCCCAAAGAGAAATTTAGTATTAAATGTGAAAATTGTGTTTCTGGAATGTATAAATGCTACCAAAGTGTGGTTTTCTGGAATGCAGTTAAAACAATTCTGAAATTTTTCTTGCATGTATGTTACCTATGTATGATTAAGAGCAATGAGTTTCCAGACTTTAGCAGCTAGTTTACATATGCGCTTAATGACAACAGATGATAAATAATGTAGTATGCATAACTGTTATCTCAACTGTTAGATTTATCTCAAAAATAGACTGCCCTCTGAAGTCCTTATCTGCCATAGGAGTCACCTCCACCCCCATTTTTTAAACTTATAGTGTGCAACTTTCAGTAGTAATTGCTTAATTAATGCAGTTTTGGATCATTGCTATTAAGAAAAGTGTTTGAGGGAAAGCATTCTTTGCTGCTATATTGTTACATGGTGGCGTTCTTACCATGTCATGCAAGTATCAGCAAAATGTAGATAGTGGTCCTTCAATTAATTACTGTACAATTTCTGGCAGACCACCTAGTATTTGAATGTTTCTGGAATGTTTGCAAAGAAACGTTGTCTAGATGGCCCTTGAATTGGAGTTGGGAGTAAGCAGTGAAGTGGCTAAATTTGCGGATGATACGAAGTTGTTCAGGGTGGTGAAAACCAGGGAGGATTGTGAGGCACTCCAAAGGGATCTGTCAAGGATGGGCGAGTGGGCGTCAACATGGCAAATGGGGTTCAATGTGGCCAAGTGCAAGGTGATGCACATTGGAGGCAAAATCCTAAATATAAGTACACATTGATGGGGTCTGAACTGGCAGAGACTGAACAAGAGAGAGATCTTGGAGTTGTAGTAAATAACTGAAAATGTCGAGACAGTGTGTGACTGCAATAAAAAAGGCCAGTGCTGTGCTGGGTGTTATTAGGAAGGGTATTGAAAACAGATCAGCCAATATCATAATGCCCCTATTTAAATCAATGGTGCCACCTCATTTGGAATACTGTGTGCAGTTCTGGTCACCACACCTTAAAAAGGATATTATAGCTTTGGAAAAAGTGCAGAAAGGGGCAACTCGAATGATAAAAGGGTTGGAACACTTTCCCTAGGGCTGTTTAGCTTGGAGAAATGACGGCTGAGGGGTGACATGATTGAGGTTTATAAGATTATGCATGGGATAGTGCAGGTAGAGAAAGAGGTACTTTTCTCCCTTTCTCACAATACAAGAACTTGTGGGCACTCAATGAAATTGCTGAGAGGTCGGGTTAGAATGGATAAAAGGAAGTACTTCTTCACCCAAAGAGTGATTAACACATGGAATTCACTGCCACAGGAAGTGGTGGCAGCTACAAGCATGGACGGCTTCAAAAGGGAATTAGATAAGCATATGGAGCAGAGGTCCATCAGTGGCTATTAGCCACAAGGTATAGTGTTAGAATGGATAAAAGGAAGTACTTTGTCACCCAAAGAGTGATTAACACATGGAATTCACTGCCACAGGAAGTGGTGGTGGCTACAAGCATAGACGGCTTCAAAAGGGAATTAGATAAGCATATGGAGCAGAGGTCCATCAGTGACTATTAACCATAAGGTATAGATAGTGTTGGGTATTACAAGTTGAAAACACTCAGTATATCTGGGGTTAAATGTTTGTTTATGTTACAGGAAGTCACATGTTTCTCATGTAACCAATGTTCTTTAGCTGTAGAATGCCCGGGAATTTTCTCCCTGATCTAGGAATTTGATTGGGACTAAAGTGTCAAGGTGTATTAGCATTTTATGGCTCTCTTCCTGTCTTTGTTTGGTGTTCTGAAGAACAAGAAGAGTAGCCATACTCTCTTCTAGTTTTTGCTCTGTTGTTATTTTCATCCCAGTTACCCTTCCCATGCTAGAATTTAGTAAAAACTTTATATTTTTTATTTTTTTCAACAAGAGAGTGCAAAAGTCAGTACTGGGATACAATCTCAAAAATGACAGAATGATTTCTGTCCGATTCCAAGGCAAACCATTCAACATCACAGTAATCCAAGTCTATGCCCCAACCACTGATGCAGAAGAGGCTGAAGTGGACTGGTTCTATGAAGACCTACAACACC